GAGGCTGAATGAAGAGCCACAGTGTAGGGCAGTGTGCTTAGTAAAGGATGAGGAGGGAAAGGGAGTGCCAAACTGATTTTTGTCCCTCCCCTCCCCAATGTACAAGAGCCTACAAACCAGATTTCCAGGGGATCCATTGGACTTTTTCTCACTCCTGATTCCCAAAGGAGGGTGATAAAGGCATTGCCTCTGCAGCTATCATTATCTCATTAGCAAGAGGATCTTTGAAAGGGGAAGACTGAGGTCACTGAGACTGGGAATCAAGCCAGGTTGTAACGGAGGGTCACTGGTGTTGGCATGGTTCTCAAAGGCTCAGGAGGAAATAGGGAATCACCAATAGCCCCAGTAATGTTTTGTTGCCCCTGTCTGCCCGTTATTCCTGCTCAGGATTTGCCTGTCTGTCATTGGCCCCATGGAGCGGGCTGGTAGTCAGGAATGTGTGCTGGTTGGACATCAGTTGGGAAGTTCAGATTGCTCGGGGCGGGTGAGGACTGAGTGGGGATGAGGGAGGGCCTGGGTGCCTATCTCTCTGATTCATAATGCCATTTTTATTTCTCACACTAGTATCATTTATAAAATTGCAGGACAGTAAACAGCTCTGTAGAGATTTTAACTAAATATGGTTAGATGGGATGCTATGAAGTTTTTGGTGGATGCAAAGGAAGATTCTAACATCCAGCATGAGTGGACACACGACAAAAGTACTTTTCTTTGGGTGGGCCTTTAATCAGACAACTCATGTTTCAGTCATGTGTGGAACAGGCTGACCTTCGTTTGCATAAAGAATTCGGAGTTTTTCTGATCAGCCGTAGCAATCATCCTGTCAGCATACTGCCTGAAAATCTAATGTTGAAAACATGGCTCTCGGAGACTGAGCTAAGGGGACACCGTTGCTCCCCCTGCCATTCTGTGGTGTTAAGCCCCTGCTGTTTGGGGGATTAAGTGTTCCCCATGTTGTCAGCAATAGACATGGGTGAGCATTGGGTAGCTTTACAGCAAACCATCAGGCAGACGAGAGGCTGTGCTAAGTAAGGATGATGGTGGTGACAGCCAACTCGTTCATTCATTCATTTGTTCTCCACCAGCTGAACTGGGGCCAACTGGTCAGAAATGTGCGCTGGTTAGACATCAGTTAGGAAGTTCAGATTGTTGTCATTGCTTTGGCATCCCCAATTCCTAAAGCAAGACTGAGAGGTTAAGGATCTTGCATTTTCCAAAGTGAATGCTGGAATATCCAGAGCTAGACCATCATGGGTAGGAGATGAGCAGATGGCTGTCCCGAGAGTGGCTGTTGGAAGAAGGGCTTGAGCAAAGCTTAGGATGTCCAAGTACTTGGCAACTTTCTTGATATTTGTTCACCCTGATTTTAAAAAGGAGGGAGGGGAGCACTTGCACACATAGGATAATGATGCAGTAATTTAAAATCAACCACTGTGCTGCAATAATTTTTAAAATATGCAATGCCTGTCATTTAGTGAGCAGCACTGACCTCTTTTCCCTTAGATTATCAAACTTTTAAAATATGACATCAGCCAGCACAACAATAGCCATTTGGTATGAATTAAAATTATACCTACTTTTTGTCAGATCGGCAAAAACATAATATTTTTTTTGTGTTGTGCTGCAGAATTTTAATAGTTTGTGTGTGTCATGAGATAAAGAAGGTTGAACATTGCTGAAAAATCAATTTTTAAATAAAAATACTGTCCCTAGTTCTGAGAGGGGAAAAGACAATGTGTATACATTTGTCAGTATCTATCTGTGGATATATATGTGCTTATTGGAAGAAGACAATATGAAGGATAGACAACAAAATATTAAGGATACTTCTGAAGACTTTTTATTTCTTATGATTTTATTTTTTTGAAGCTTTCACAAGGGATCTTTTATATTGAAACATGTTAAGTTTTCTAAAGAAAAAAATAGTTTATCCATGGAAGAATTAAGGGTGACCCCCTGTGTCTGGAGCCCGGAACTGTGTAAACTGGATTTTGCTGTGTGATCATGGGCATGTGCTTGACTTTTCCTTGCCTTGGTCTGTCCCAGGGCAGTGTTCCATGAGTTATTTTGGCTTTAGTTGCTTACAGTAGCAACCCCTTATCTGTGGTTACACATTCTGCAGTCCTATAATAATTACCAGGTCAACTGTGCTTCTAAGATATTATATGGGAAATTCCAGAAATAAACAATTTTATAAGGTTTAAGTTGTGCACCATTCTGAACAGTGTGATGAAATCTCATGCCGTCCAACCGTGCCCCACACCTGATGTGAATCATCGCTTTGTCTAGGGTCTCCACACTATACACACACACACACACACACACACACACACACACACACACACATCCCCGTTAGTCACCTTTACTTCGTAGCCCTCTTAGTTATCAGATTGATTTGCTGTCACTGCACTTCTGTTCACGAAACCTTTATTTTACTTAATAATGGCACAAAAGTGCAAGAGTAATGATGCTGGCAATTCAGATATGCCACAGAGAAGCCAGGAAGTGCTTCCTGTAAGTGAATAGGTTTGTCTGTGTAGGAAAAGGCATAGTATACCCAGGGTTTGGTACTGTATGTGGGTCCAACTATCTATTGGGGGCCTCAGGTGGACAAGGAAAGATTACTCTATTTCCTGGGGAGCAATGACAGGATAAAATTTATTTGCAGCTTTTATAAGAATTTGTTGTTAACTGTGGAAGACAAATTAAGTTTGCTTAGTCCACTAGGGTGAAGCTAGAGGTTGTCCTGGCCTGTCTACCCTAAGCAGTCCCATACTCCGTAGACCTGGGATTCTGCAGACCTGCCTTCCCCCTAGAATTCATTCTCTAAAATAGCTCCTTTGGCATTTATTTTTGCTTCTTCCTTACATAGTTTTTTTCCTCACTGGTACAGCAAAGATGTGGACTAGATGTTTGTTTGTCTGTTTTTTTCAAATATATTTTTTATTGATTTCAGAGAAGAAGGGAGAGGGAGAGAGATACAGAAACATCAATGATGAGAAAGAATCATTGATTAGCTGCCTCCTCATGCTCCCCACTGGGGATTGAGCCCACAACCTGGGCATCTGCCCTGACTAGGAATCGAACCCTGACCTCTTGATGCTCAACTGCTGAACCACAACTGGGTGGGTTGGATTAGATGTTTTTAAGAGGAAAAACCTACTTCACCAAGTCATTTTGAAGATTAAATTGTTTAAATAATATAAAAGCACCTCAGCTAAATAAGTGCTAAGGTGCTTTAGCATACATATACGAAAACCTTCAGTAACTTTTAGCACTATTGGTGTTTTTCTCTAAATCCTTGTTCTGTGCCTGGCCTTTAGCACCGTATTGAAATTCGTGAGATTTGTACAGCTAACGCCAAATGGCCAGTGAGCCTTTTCTGCAAATGTTGTAATAAGTGGAGAAAAAAATCCAGTAAATGGCTCTTGTCTGCTTATTGTGTTTTTAAGTCTCTTCAGCTGGTCAGCAATAAATATTTCTTATAGAATATCCCACTTATGTGCTTATTTCTTACTCATAGTATGGGGAGGATGAGAGGGGTGGATTTACCAGGCCAGAAAGAGCCATTAAAACCATCGCCTCCAGTAGTGACAAAAATCACAGTGGTTGATGTCATTCATTCCCAAATGCCAGTGTGAGGATCTTGGCTCATCCACCAATGTTTGTGGATAAAAAAGATAATAACCTTTTATGCAAGTGGTTCCTTTCTATGATGCTAGAATGTTCTTACGAGGCTATGCCTAGGTGGTGATACTTTCTTTAAATGGTCCTCGTTGACAAATTAAGAATGACCAACTCTGTGTCAGACTTCCAAGTTCAGCGGTGGAAAATAGAAAACTGAACTGTAAAATTCCAGAGGTTAGACGCCACCACAGACGCTAAGGTGGGTTTAAGTAGGTCTACAAAGCATGTTGGGGATTCCTGCCAGAGGGTTTCAGAAACAGCTTCAAAGGGAAGCCAGATTCACTGTCTTCCTCAAATATCTGACCTATTTCTGCTTCACTCGTCATTTTTGTGCAACATTTTTAGAAATGGAGAGTGGGAGAAAGAGAAGCATCAAAGCAAAGTCTGTTTCTTAGCCTGGGTTCCTTTGGGCAGCCTCCTCCTGATTCCTCTTATAGATTTTGCCAGATGGTCTTTCTTTTTCATTTCCTTAAGGTGTGTGTGTGTGTGTGTGTGTGTGTGTGTGCGTGCGTGCGTGTGTGTATGTTTTAAGAAAGAAATACATAAATCCTACCCAGAAAGGAATACCTTTATTTTTTTCTCAAGGGAAAGAAGGCTCAGTTGAATTGAGGGATTGAATAAAGTTCTGCCAATGAGTTCACCCTTGGAAAACATTTAAATTCTCCCAAACATACTAATGAAGGTGCCTGTTGTCTACTCTGTTGGTTTTCACTATGAAGATTCCATAAAAGTTGCATGCTGTGAGAGGGAGGAGCCAAGTTTGGAGGAAATGAACAGCATGGTCTCTACTTGACCATCAGCCTTGCACTTGAATGACCCAATCTGGAGACCGGTCTCCAGAATTCTTTGATGGCCTGAATGCCTGGGCTGTGCAGGGCAGCTGTGTCATTGAACGTTCTTAGAGTTGTGAACTGCACAACCTGTGTCACTGCAAGCTGTGGCCTGATGCACCCCCAGCAATAATAGAAATGAGCGTAGGCACTCAAGAGGTGTATATTTGCTTATAAGTTATGTATGTGTATGTGCCATCCACTTAGATTTCATATGGATAAAACATGATTACTTTATTAAAAAATGAAAATGAATAGCAGTTCTAACAAATTCATCTGTGCACAATGATGGTTTTGAACACCCTCTGATGTCAGCCACCCCACTTGGGAGATATTGGCCTGGAAGAATGCATAGTGTCCTCTCTGTCATTCAGGCAGGGCAGTACATTTGTAGGGTAGGGTTGCTTTTTAGCAGTAAGGTACTTATGGGTCTTACCCCTTCCTGCCAGGACCTTTGTCCTTACCTGCTGATTTCTATTGCAGAGTACACAGTCATTAATGAAGCCTGCCCCGGAGCTGAGTGGAATATCATGTGTCGCGAGTGCTGTGAATATGACCAGATTGAGTGCGTCTGCCCTGGAAAGAAGGAAGTTGTGGGGTATACCATCCCTTGCTGCAGGAATGAGGACAATGAGTGTGACTCCTGCCTGATTCACCCAGGTGAGTGTGGAATGGGAGACCTCAGGTTGCCTTGCGTTTTCTGAGGTCATGAATGGGAACAGGCTGAACACTTGTCCTGACAGGCAGCCCTCAGGAGGCTGTGAGGCCATGCTTATTAAGGATGTCTTCCTTGCTATTGGACTGTCATTGTTCCAGTTTCCTTTGTTTTGTCTCCTTTTTAGTGAACAGAGCTAGGGAGTATATATTATTTTTTAATGAATTTATGTTGATATTCAAGTTCCAATGTAATAAGGTTTACTTACCTTCTTTGATTTTACATTTGTATATCTTTGTCTCATGGTGAACATCCTATTTTCAAATAATACTAACCTAATCACTTATATTCTTTATCTTATGTTAGAACATAATAGAATTGTATAAAATAACAATAATACTATTAGCACTAACAATAAGACCACTGATTGAAGTTATGATTTCTTTGTGGTTATTATTGACCTTAGACTATATCCCACTAAGTGTATACAGTCAAAGCACTGTGTTTTAAAACCAATCGATGTACAGGCATATGTTGTTTTATTGAATTTTGCTTTATTGCGCTTCATAAATGTTGCGTATGTTTTACAAATTGAAGGCAAACTTCCCACCAGCAAAGCTTACGACTCACTTGATGGCGGTGGTCTGGAATCACACCTGCAGTATCTCCAAGGTGTGCCTGTACTTCTTTTCTCTGTAACATATGCCACCTATGTGATCTACAGATAGGCTTTTTATTTCCATCCATTTTCCATATTTTACAATACAAGCAAATATATACACACACACGTATACTTCTTTTCCTTTCTTGCATGAAAGATAGCATACTTTATTTACCCTTGCTTTTTGCTCTTAACAATGCATGCTGAAGATCACTCACTGACAGTATGAAGCCGCCATCTTCATTTCTTCTTGCAGTTACTTGTAACTGTATTGTGTGATTGCCATAATTTATGAGTATTTGGGTTGCTTCCAGCTTTTTGCTACTATAAATAATGCTATAGTGAATAGCTCAAGGCATACATCATGTAGTATTTATGCGGTGTATCTTTGGGGTGCATTCCTAGGAGAGGGGTTGCCGGGTCAAAAACAGGTGCACGGGTCATTTTGCCAGCCTTTGCCAAATTTCCCTCCGTGCCTTTGGCACTCACAGTGGCTGTGTATGAGGGCACTGTTTTCCCAAAGCCTTGCAACAGAACATGTCATTGGGATTGTTGCCAGTTTCGTGCATGAGAAATGAGATCTCAACGTGGTTTTAGAAAGTTCTCTCATGGGTGACAACAATCTTCTCCGTGCTGGTGGCAGGGGTGGTAAGAGGGTCAAGATCCAGGGGCACGGTGGCAGGATGTGAACCGTGACTTCCAGAATGTCCAGCAGCACCAGGGCCCTCACCCGACCAAGTTTGCAGTTCTAGGCTGTGTAGCTCTGCACTCAGTCCTCTGGCCCTTCTGGCCATTCTGTGAGTGCCTTAGTGTCTTTTTAGTAGAGCCTCATTCTTTGTCATCCCCAGGCTGGTTTTTGTGGCTTGCACATAATGACCTGGGTGTTACTGTGCCAAGAAAGAGTTGGAAAGATCGTTGAGGTTATACTCTGAGTCCATTGGCCTCCTCAGTGGCACACAGGTAAGGGAAGCAATGAGGGAAAGTGGCACATGGGTGAAGACGACCTTTAGGAGGCACAGTGACCCCACTGGGACCCAGTTATGGGCCACATGAATTTGAGGCAACATATAAGCAACTCTTCTCTATTGAGAGAAAGGACCGGGAGAGGGAGTAGAATCAGGCTGGTATGCAAAGAGAGGGTTATTAGTCTCTCTCCTACAGAAACCAGCATATACATACTGCAAATATATACACCATAACCCAACAAACCGATTTCAGCCAAAAACAAATGAGTATGCTGTCAGCTCAAGGAGACACTGGTTATCTCAAATAGCTGAGAAGCCTGCATTGGCAGTTCAGCCATCCATCCATCCATCCATCCATCCATCTATCCATCCAGTGTAATAATATTTATTGAATATTCCTTATGTGACAGATACTGGAGTACGTTCTAAGGATAAAATGTAGCTGAGCTAGAACTTAGCTGTTGCCCTGAGTGAGACTGAACAAACTCTACCTTCCCTCATCACCCTCCATGTTTTAAAAATGATCCTAGCCCTACCCGGGTAGCTCAGTTGGATAGAGCATTATCCCAATACTAGTGATCCGGTGCACCAAATTCATGCATGGGGGTGATATCTCAGCCCGGTCTGCACCCTCTCCAATCCGGAACCCCTGGCTTCTCCTATGCAGCCGGTCATGCAGGAGTTACTGATTCCAACACCTTCTTTTTGCAAAATTTTCAGGTTGCACCATCTTTGAAAACTGCAAGACGTGCCGAAATGGCTCATGGGGTGGCACACTGGATGACTTCTACGTGAAGGGATTCTACTGTGCAGAATGCCGGGCGGGCTGGTACGGAGGAGACTGCATGCGTGAGTAGACCCCCGAGGCAGCTCCGTCTCTAGTGCCTGCTGGTTTAATGTCTCCGCTGGCTGCGGACTACGGTTTCTCTTGCCGGAATCTGAGTTCTGGCAAGCTTGCGGTCAAAGTGCTTTCTAGATAAGGTTATAAAAAAACAAACACGCGCATTTCCATCTGCTGGTTGTGGACTGTGGACATCTGTTTAGAATTGGCCACAGGAGGTTCCTATCTGCTCTTAAATCTTCCCCTTTCTGTTGAACAAAGCCAAGACGTTCTGCACAGCCTCCTGGCCATTCCTGAAGCAGCTCCACATTAGCATCTGTCAGATAACAGGGACTACAGCACCGGAATGCTCTGTCTGTAATGCATTTTAAATATGAATTTCTATTGGTACATTTTTTGAAGCCTGCGTTCAATTCCTGAGGCTCATGTCAAATTGTCAGCATGCCCCTTGTCCCAGGAAAGAGATTTTTTTTTTTCTGGGTTCTACTTGAACTCCAAGAATTATTTAGTCTTTATGAGAGTTCCCTGTGGGTTTCCACAAGCCTTTGAAAATGGAGTGGACTGTTATCTCCCCTCAGCTGGAGAGTCCCCTCTGAAGTGCCCTGATGGTGGCTGTTCTCTGAGACGCTGGACCTGGGGCAGCAGATGTCCTGTTAGTGTTGTGTTTAGCCTGTTCTACAAGTTCCCTCCTTGAGTCAGAAGCATTCTGGGTGGGCTTGCAGGCTGAGCAATTTGCCTCTTATAATGATATTCCCAGGCCACAGAGATGGAGACTGGAGAGCTATTGGCTTCTCACTGCACTCAGGTATTCTTTGCCTGAACAAACCTTAGCAAAATGCCACGAATTTCAAGAGCCTAAGGAAAAGGGTGAGGTCTGTGGTCTGTGGCCGAAAAAGCCAATTACCCCTGGAGGAGAAGGGACGTGTTGGTGCTTCACTGGAATCCTGGGAACTCAATTATCCTGTATGCAGATGATTTTACAGTGCTGGTCTGAGGTGCAGATTTAAAACGTTGACGTCATTTTAGATGGTTTCCGGGAACTTAAATTTAAGACTTTGGGGGATTATTTTCTAGGGAGATTCGCTGCAGGATTTCACCTTGGTCTTCCTCTGACAGCTGTTCTCTGAAGACATTCTGATATGATCAAGAACACAGGCTCTGGAATGACACAGGCCTGGACTAACCAATGGCTTTGCACTGTGACCATGGCCAAGCCATCTAACCTTGCTAATCGCAGTCTCCTTTTCTTTAAAATGGGAAGAATGCTCTCTATGCCATTGGGCTGTTTCTAGAATTAAAGAAGATGTGTGTATGTGTGAAATGCCTAATGCTTTGCCTGGAATATAGCAAAAATGAATACAGTAAACATATCATTATTCTTTTATATGAATCTGAATGGCCAAGCTAGTAGTGATGCAGAAATAAAAGTGCTTAGAACAGACAATCAGAGCTGTCCAGCAAAACTTCGATTTTGCATTGACTCCCTAGAGTATATTAGATCACTTTAGGATTTTCTTCTGTTTGGAAATGGAAGGTTGTTCCTTCTCTGTGTGAGTGGAGAAGAGCCATGTGATGTGATGGGGCTATAGGCAGGAGTCAGATTGTGCATGGCCTTGTAGGTAGGTGAACTGGATCAAGATGTTATTCTGAGTGCAGTGAGAAGCCAATAAAGAGTTGGGGACTAGGACAGTGGTCAGCAAACTCATTAGTCAACTGAGCCAAATATCAACAGTACAATGATTGAAATTTCTTTTGAGAGCCAAAAATTTTTAAACTTAAACTTTTTCTAATGCCACTTCTTCAAAATAGATTTGCCCAGGCTGTGGTATTTTGTGGAAGAGCCACACTCAAGGGGCCAAAGAGCCACATGTGGCTCTTGAGCCGCAGTTTGCCAACCACTGGACTAGGATATGGCATTGGTAGAACCAGGTAAAAAGGAGTCACGGGTAGGGGAGCTGTTAGGTAGGAGCTGATGCTTGAGCTATGCTTTGCTCAGGTGTGGCCAGACCAGGAGGATACCTATGTGGGTGCAATTCTAGTCTCCTGGTTCTTAACCACAGTGCCATTCCAACCTCCACTTCAAAAGCTCTGTTTTCTCTGAAAAGTGGGAAGTGGGATCTCTGCTGAGGGCAGAGTGGAAGTGAGGCCGGGGCTTGAGAGCAGCAAAGGTTTGAGACAGCCACGCAAGGAATAAGGAAAGGCAAGTCCCAGCAAGACTGAGGAACCTGTTCAAGCTGGAGCTGTTACGTAGGTGATGCAGCCAGGCCAGTGGGCAAAGCTCTCCAGCAGCATGGTAGCAGCGATGAACTGAAACAGGCATTTGCTTGATCTGAGACTTGACTAAGACAGGTCATCCAGGTTGGGTAGGACATGAAATCAGAAAGAGCCTGGCAGAGAGAGAATAGGGATGGCTGTCTCAATGTGGTGGAAAAGTAAGCTTAGTGGTAATAAAGCAGTGGAACACGTAGATAGAAGGGGTATTATAGGCAGAGAGTAGAATATCTATGTTGAAGCTTTCAGGGGTGGTGGCAATAATATGTTCATATATAATAGTCAGTTTTTGCTGTGTAACAAATCTCAAAAGGAAATATATATTTATTTTATTATGGGTCTGTGGGTGGGCTAGGGTTCAACTGATTTCAGCTGAGCTGATCTGGGTTGAACTCCATGCCTCAGGGTCCAGGCCAAAAGGGCAGCAGCTACTAGGGACGTGCTGTCCTTGGGGGAGTTGCAGAAGCACAAGAGGCCAAGCCATACACACAGGCACATTTAAGGCCTCTGCTCATATCACATTCACTCACATTTCAAAAGAGGTCACGTGGCTAAGCCCCAAATCAGTCAACTAGGGAAGTATTCTCCATCCCAAGTGGTAGGGCCACTGATGGTATCCAGGTGTCGGATCAAGGCTTCCTCAAGGACAGCTTATTGCTACAACAGGCCATTGCTACTGGCAGAACACAGAGCCAGGCCCTCATCCATCAGTCTACCCAGCCATTCAAAAAATATTTATTGAGTGGATGCTCTGGGGTGCTGGACAAACAATGAATAGGTCTTGGAGTTTGCAATTTAGAGAAGAGAGAGATAGAGAAAAAAAAACATCCAAAAAGTAAAAAAATTTGGAGTGCGGTCATCAGTGCTATGAAACAAACAGAATAACGGTCCGATTTCTATCTCATTCTGTGTTAGTTCAGTTGTGCTTGTTTAGTTCCATGATGTTTGCTCTGAAAGCCTCATCCCACACAGTGTGCTATCTGGCCACAGTCTCAGCCTTCATAAAGCATTTCTTTTGGGGCCCTGGGTTAGACACCAGGGAAAACAACGAGCCCTCAGTGAGTTTACAAACCATCCATGGAAACAGCGTTTGACCATAAGAAGACATCTGTGTGATATGATGATGTTATTAGTTCTTACCTCATATTGGCATTAAATGGATGTGAATGGAATTCAAATGAGGAAGTAACTCATTTCACTGTTTGTGGACTTCTTGCTGGGCACTGGGTGCTGCCTGCCTCTGTTAAGAGGAAGCCACACTTGATTGGCTATTTATGGCCAGGGCATCTTGCTGGACACCCATGGCAGTGCAAGCATTTACCCAGTAGATGGCGCTCAAGTGATCCTTTCAGGCAGTTTCATTCCGAAGGAAGGAGAGCTTCCTGTTGAATACCTTCTGGAGGCCCAGGCATTCCCCACGCACCCCCAATTCCCCAGGACCCTATAGAACCTTAGAAGGAATGAGAAGTGACCGGCAAATTCCAGAAAGAGGATTCTATATTTGAGTTATAGAGCTTTCATATAAAGCACTGAGCATGTGTTACAGCACCTTTATTTGATCATGTCCTTGACAATGTTTATGTTAATTAGTGTTAACCTAACTACGACAGTCTTAAAATCCATTATGTGATTAAGTCATTCATAACCATTGGCAGATGGTATTAAACAAGATAACAGGAGAATGGCCTGAAGTCACTGAACCTAAGGGAAGACTTTATTCACATCTCCCGGCCTAGGAAAGAATGGTTTCGTGAGCTCAGAAAATCCTGGCTAGGGACAGGAGCCAATTCCTGTTTTCTTTCCCCAGCCTTTTATTTTGAAAAATTTCAAATCTACGGAGAGTTGAAGAACAGTACATTCCTATACCTTTCACCTGGATTCACCTATTAACATTTCCCCGCATCTGACTTACTTTTACTGCATACAGACACGTGAATTTAATATTCTCCATGTTCCATGTTATCACCATTTTTCTTTTTCATGCTAAAATTGTCCTGGAATTGGCCAGCACAGCCCCTGAAAGCTGGCTCCAATGCATCATTTGGTAAGCAATGCCTCGTTCCCTGGTCTGCAACCAGCCATTTCTCCACGAATCCTGGTTCCTCCTGTGGGAAAGGCCTTTAGGAACTGCAGTCTGTGTGCTGGCTACAAGAGGGGCTGAGAGCTAGAGTCAAAAGGAAGCCTTCCTCTCAACGCTTCTTAAACCGGGAGGTAGTCTTCTTATGTGGAGCGGGACCAAGAGCCACTCCATATGTCACACTTGCATGTAGCATGACAGTGATATGAACCTTTTAGGCACTGAAGGATCCAAGAGATATAGAAGGTTAGGAAATCAACCCAGAGAAGAGAGGATTTATAGAGAGAGATTATTAATACATTTGTCTTCTTAGTCATAATTTGCATAGTGGTAGAGGAGCCAAGGAACTGGCCATAAGCCATGCCCCTCAATGTGTGTGGGCTAGAATAGGAGAGAGGAGAGAGGAGAATGATTTGTGAGGTTGGTCCTGGAGCCATAACAGACAATGGTCAAGAGCAAATTTGTGTGTGTGTGTGTGTGTGTGTGTGTATCTGTATGAGAGAGAGCCACGTTCACAAAGCTTTTTTAAAAATATGTTTTTATTGCTGGGATCAGTTTGGCTCAGTGGATAGAGCGTTGGCCTGCGGACTGAAACGTCCCGGGTTCAATTCCGGTCAAGGGCATGTACCTCGGTTGTGGGCACATTCCCAGTAGGGGGTG